AGTTTGCATTGAAAACTATACTCTTTCACAGAGTAATGAAGCAGGAACATTTATTCAGGTCAAATTCTAAGAATTCTGTAAATTATTTGGGCAGGAATTTAAACTGACCAAATACTGTACTGGTGGAAACAATGTAGATAATGAGCTTAAAAATCTTTTTGTCTATAGATTTTTACCACAAATTCTTACAAAATATTCTCTATCCCTCTTCCTTTCTCTTCCCCCACAACAGTTATATTGTGAGAAACTGGTACAATAATGTAAAGTCTGCACAGTTAATCTATTATTACATTAATATTAGCATATTATTAACTAAATCAATCATGAAAATGTTTAATGATAACAAGCAAACTGACTTAAAAGGGAGTTTTGGGGGGGGATTTTTTCTTTACACTGGTTAAATTACAAATTATCATAGATCGTTTTCACCAACTTGAAAAAGTCACTCAGAGTTTGACAGCCTGTCTACTTAGAGTAAAGCATACCTGAACATAACACAATAGTACCACAGAAATTGGAACTTTACAAAATTTTCCTGACAAGTGGAGCAAATCCATTCAACTAGTCTTGATTAACTGTTTCCTATGTGCAAAGCCCTCTGCTTGGATCTCTGGGAACACAGAGAGGATCAGAACACTGTCTTCGTCAAGCAAGAAGGATCACTAATGCTAGTTAAACATAATTTAATACCAAGCAGTGCACTAAGCACTCTTGAGTACATTATCTCAATTAATCCCCACAATTTTTTGAAATGGATAGAGTCTTAATAGCAAAAAAAGTTACGACATATGCTCAGAGATGATATTCAAACTATTACCCACTAGATGGGGTGGTACAAGGCAGGGCACTCAGAGGCCTGGGGCTGGAACTATTTACCCACCAACACACATACCAATACTTTCACAATAGAAGCAGTCTTCTTGGTGTGTACCAGCTGAGTACCGGCCCTGCTTGTAACCAAATGATTTAATACAAGGTAGAAACTAATGGCAGCAATAAAAAAAAAGACCCAAAAAACAAACAAACAAAAACAGAGAAATGAGCATGTGTTACCATGTGATTACAAAGGAGGAAGAGATTTGTGATTGGGAGAAGGGCATCAGGGAGACTTCCTAGAGGAGGCGGTGCTTAAGCTAGGCTCTGAAAAATGGGCTGAATTTGAGAAAGTGGCAATGGGTAGCATTGGGACTAGAGTAGGAAGTTCCAGGAACTCAACAAAGACTGGAGTTGGACCAACTAAACTGAATGGCAGATAGAGAAATTAAAGTTGATGAGCAAATTAAATATTTTGAGGGATGATGTAATATGACAGAGATGGGCAGGAAGGAAAGGAAGGCAAAGACTAGAAGTGGTGAAAGCAGGCAGTTCTCACATAAACACCAGCTAACCCTCAGAGGTCGCTTCCTCAAGGAAGCTTTCCTGGGCATGCCTCTCCCACCCACCTCGCCTAAGTGGCCGTCTCCAGTCTCACAAGGTCCCCCGTTGTTCTTTGTCACTACACCCTCCCACTGTGTTAGGATTGCCTGTGCATCTAATGTTGCCCTGCCAGACTTGCAGCCCCAACTCTCCATATGAGGCATGGCTGAAGGTCAACACTTACATAATCGCTGGACTCCACTTTCAAATATAGACTTGAGCTAGGAAATTACCCGACAAAGGCTGCACGGCTTCTCTAATTGAAGATATTTGTTATAGTGAATTAAGAAAGCAGATTGGACTGATTTCAACTAGCATCTGACTCTTGTGGCAAGATGAGTTCAGATTTAGCCCCCTTTCCTTTTCTTGCCTCCATTTCAAGTTGCCTGGTATGGAGTAGGACTCAATAAATGCTGCGATCAGTGAACAAAGTATGGAAAGCCTGAGATACAGGACTGAAAGTGAAACAGGTAAGAAGAGATATGTGAATTAGTGAGGTGCATTGAGAACAGAAGAATTAACAGGATTTGGCATATGAGAAGCCAGGAAGAGGCCGCAGGCAACACTGGCTATGCAAACCTAGGGGTGGAGGAAGGAGAGGATCTTTTAAAAGAAACAGGAGAAGTGGACTCTGCAGGGAAAGAAGAGGTGGAGTTCTGTCTTGCACTACACTGTCCTGAGCCTGTGTCCACAGGACATCTAGAGGGAGAACACCACCAGCAGCAGGAAATTTGAAACTGAAGAAACTTTTTCTTTTTTAAAACAAAATATTTCTTATTGGTTTGGAGGAATGTTCAGTTATCATTTATAGAACTTTACAACTAATTATAAAGACCTGTCTTTATCTTTGCTGCTAACAGCACTGGAACCAGAGCCTTCTTGTTAATGCAACACTGGGCTGTCAGGATGTTTGCAACAGGGGAAAGACTGGCCAGCTCCACAGTCTTTTCCCTGCAAATCAAACACTCAGGACCCTTCCCATGATTTTGAATTACTTTTGTATTATTACTTTTGTATGAGCATCGAACATGACAGTGGTTAAGTACTTGGATGCTGGAGTAAGGGTTTAAATGCTCTCTGACAATTGACAGCTATGTGACCTTGGGCAAGGCCTCTAACATCTCTAAGCCTCAGTTTCCTCATTTGTAAAAGGTGGCTAGTAATAATAATTGCCTTATAGGACTGTTTGAAGAATTAAATGAAATAATTCATGTAAAGTGCCTTAGCATGGTGCCTGGCCCTTAAAAAATGTAAACTACTGGCAACATACTACGTGATAAAATCATACGGTAAAAATTTTTCCCATGAATGAAAAATTGCATTTAAAAAAAGAAACTTCAAAAGAGAATGACATTTGTTCAATGTTTTTACACATTTTATATGTTTAAATATTTAAATGGGGGGTGCTTTCCTTTAAAAAAACAGAATTTTCATTAAGTATTTCATTGACTATCAGCTATGCCAAATCAACATCAACAACTAACCAGAATCTTACAGAGTAACAAAACAGGACACAAAAGGTGGTGCTTGT